CTGCTCTATAGTCGCGAGGTAAGGAGTTGATCCTTACGTCGCGGGTTCGAATCCCACTGTGAGACGCGGAGACCGGTCCTTCGGATGAGACCGTATAAACCGAGGTCCAGTGTCGCAGTAGGTGTTGGCACGAAAAAGACCCCTCACTGCTCAATGGCCGTAAGTGCCGAGCATAGGACAAGGTTTGCAGCTCTCCACCGGCAAGTGGTGGCGCCTCCATATGAGTGAAAAATTCTCGAGAGGGACGTTAAACAACAAACAAACAGACAAAACAAAACATATTACTTGTATATATCTATTTTATGATTTATTACCGAGTACTAGATTAACTATTTTGCCGATGTTTGATAAAATACCACAAATATCTTTATAACCCTGTACAGAACCTTTTTTAATTACGAAATATTTTTGTAACAAGGGATGACAATGAATCTTAAAAATAATGATAATATAGTTTTTACCCTCTGTACCTTCAGGCCACTTGCTAAGAACAAAATTTTCTGAGAATTTCATGTACATAGAAAATCTTTGTTAACATAAGTAAAAAAGTTTAGCCATATAAAGTTTATTTTCTTTCTCAATGGTTTGCAATCGTATCCTTTAAAGTGATTAAAAGTGCATAAATTGGTATGGAGAAAAGCAAAATTACACCTGTGTGCTGCATATACATGTCCATCAGAAGTGATTCTAGCATGTAACATTACGATGCATCATCCTGATCGTGATTCTGGTGCAGTTTTATTTTGGTAAGAAGCACCTCCGAGGAGGTAGGTTCTTTTATTTTATATCTGCATGGGTTTCTTTTTTAACATCAACTCTAGAAAATTACATCTCCTGATTTGACACATTTTAAGATGATAAAACTTGGAATGTTTTTCTAGTGTATTGACATTCTAGTAGATTTAATTCAGATTTTAATTTTGAGAAAAAAATCAGAGTGGCAAGAGTATCAGCTGTTTGAGGAAAAAAGTAAACAGCAAATACATTGAAGTACATGCTTTACTTTTTCTTTCCAATGTAATTAGAATCAGATACGCATTGTCCTGAGAAAATGAAAGGCTACATGAGTAGTTGAGTAAGAATTCTGGTAAGATTTCTTTGTTTTAAGAAAGATTATTTTGTGTTAAAAGTATATGGTCTCTGAAATGATAAAGAGGAGGCATAATGATAGAAATAAGTTCTCACAACAAACTTGTGTTTGGATACAATTTTTCGTTAATTATAGATTGCTGAAATTGCATTAACGTCATCAAAAGTTTATCGCAAGTAAAATCACAAACCAGAAAGAGATTTAAAATACCGTATTAGCATTGTCGAAATTTCCCAAGATCTTAATCTCTTAGAAACCAGAGGAAGAGATTTTCAGAATACGAAGTAATCTTTTAGATAATGAAATGCATGTCGGTTGAATAACACATGCTCATGAAACTTCAATAGCTGTGATATGTAAGTTGTAACAGATAAAAAGTACAAGATATTAGCCTAGGCAGAAGGCAAATCTTTACAAGTTTAATTTGAAAGTGAAGGAGCAAAAAACAAGAAAAAGCAAGCAAGTGAAAAAACAAACAAACAAACAAATAAATGAAATAAAATAGAAAAAATGAAACAACAGACATACTCCGAGAATTTTTTTGAAATCGGCATTTCAATGATTGAAATGTTTTTAAAAAAGATTACATTTGCCTTAATTAGATGCGCTGAATGAATTTATCTAAAATATTTCTTAATTCATATACATTATGAAAGAACGACTTTTGCTTCTTTAATACAATTTTTCTGTTGCTGTAAATTAATTATAAAATGCTGTATCAAATCATCAGAACCCTGAAATTTGAATATAATAAACAGTGATCACTCTCAACAGTCCATTTAAACAGTGCAAATAATGAGCAGAGCCAAGAGAGACGTCTAAATTTAGAGGTGGGATCAGGTGTAATGGAAGGGTAAATATCCCCTGTCGACCAGTCATACCCGCCGTATTCTCCTTTTCATGATCGTTTAAACAGAAAATCGGTAGACAATTCATGGTGAAAATAATGGCCTAACAATTTGTGTTAAAGACTTTAGTCAACATTTGACACGAAAACAATATTGTATTTGCAAACAATGTTATTGTATCCACAACGGAATTTGCTAAATATTATCTTTAAACGAGATTGTTTATACAAGTATTCTTGTATCATCAACTTCTTTGTGAACAGTTTGTATTGTTTAAGAAATTGTTCGTACGTAGAACATCATCAACTGGAATACATAAATTCCAAATGCAGGTAATAATGGAATATTGCTACATAAATAAGGGAAGTCGAGGATAGATAACACGATCAGTACGTGCTGGTCCCTGCGGACAAAGAAGGTAATAACATTGTCTTTGTTTGTAAGGCTCATTATATAAATTGTATTTCAGAGGAACTGGGATTTAATTCTACAAGCGGTAATCCAACTCAAGCTTATACCAAAAGCTCCCTTTCTACTCAGATTATTGAAATTTTTGAAAGCTTTTTAGTTTTGGTAGTCTTTTTTATGTGTGCCCAAAGATCTTGCCATCAAACTCCTAAAAGGATCATAAAGACTTAAGTTTCCTTTGTTATATTTCTGTGCGCATGCAAAGGACGTAGCTTTTGCTAACGCCGTTCAGTATTGGTTAATTTAGGCATTAAAAGTGTAAAAAGATTATTTTTTCTTCTTAATGTAAACATGCTTAATAAAATGTTTAAAACATTTAATTTTTTGAAGTTTCAAATGCTGTCAGCTGCGTAGAAAATCTACTATAAAGGTACAAAGATTTTAAATATAAGAATGGATCCATAAGCAAGTCGTACAGTTGGCAGGTGTACATGTTAATCTGCAACATATAATTGAAAAAGTATAGGAACCTCCATTAAATTTATTATTTTAGTTTATCAATTACGTAAATTATGAAGTTATGTATTAGAATCGGTTGTTGAATTCAGCAAGCACTTGTTTCGCTATCTGTAACCAAAGGATCTACAGGCAAATGCCGAGTTGAGTGCCAGTAAAAAAATTAAAGGGAATGTCTTCTTTATTTATATACATGTACAGACAAAGTATAAATATTAAGATACCAAGTAATAGAAAGTTCATATTGATAAAAAATTCAGTCTACCCCCCCCCCCCCCCCCCCGAAACACCAGGGATGGGATCAGATGCCAGAAAGGAGTGATCATGCCCTGTCCACCGGTCACACAGGGCCATAAACCCTCTTTATTAATCAGGTAATCCGTAGTCAAATTTAGTACTAGAACAATGGCCTTACAATAAGTATGAAACATGTAAGTCTAAATACAACCAAGAGGCAGGCTGAATCCGTTAACAATGTTACCATACCTGCCACAAACTTGCAACGTGCTGACTCCAAAGGAGAGAGAAGAAAAAATGCAACATTGGTAGCCTAAATATCCCATATTCAATGTCATATTGTCAATAGTAGATCGCTTTATTAAGTATAATCATGTGATGCTTTACGGAGTCATACACCTTGACAAAAGCGCCAGAATTAATAGAAAACAGCAGGTAGGATATATGTATCACTTTTTAAGAATAAAGGCGAAAAATCGTGAAAAATGCATACTGTTCAACAGGTAAGAAAATGAAAAATTAAATCTCAATTATAATAGAAATTACTTTGATGTACCAGTTAACATTAATGTATACTTTTGTGAAATCTCCACAAGATTCAAAAGTATTACAAATGTTAAAAATTATTTTCGTCTAAGAAAAAGCATGCACAGACCAAAGAGGAGAAATTTTTTTTCATACTATAACACAATTTTACGATATATTTAGTGGATCTCCGAGCCATATTTTGAAGTATATCATAAAAAGGTTAAAAATATAGATTTTTTGCTTAACAAAACCTTAGAACATAGACCCACTCTTCCTTAAAAATACTCTTTTACGATAAAAATTCGTATCTTTCTGAGATATATTTGAAGTCCAGTTATTCCAATCAAAAATAAGAATTAAATGCTACTAACTGTAATGGGATATGTGGTGAAATGGATAACTTGTCAGTCTCAAAGAAAAACTGATACTCAGGATTTTTGTGCCTTGGGTTCAAATCCCAAGAAATCCGTGTTTTTTTTATTTTACCGCAGAAAAATATTTGCAGAGAAATTTTTCTCACACAAAAGTTTTGTTTGTCATACTTTCAAACCTTTCAATCATTAAAACTTTAAATACTAATTTCACAAATTGAATTTGATTTATATATATTTAAAGCTATAAGTATTTTGGACGCTTTGTTTGCCTATCTTTTTTGCTGCTGCCTTTACAATCTTAAACTATTTATCAGTGTATTTTTCTGATTGAGAAATTACATGTATTTCACTAAAATTGTTTCTTAAAGTAAAGTTTAAAAAGAGAAAGATATAAAAGCGGTGTAAACCTATGTTTTAGCTCACCTGAGCTGTGAAATCACGTGATTTTTTTGGATCACCCTTTTCTTGTTTCCGTCCGTCATTTCCTCTACATATTTTTCGACTTCTTTTTAAGAATCATTGTACCAATTTGGACCAAAAATGACACAAACCAAACGAAAATAAAAATTATTTAAATGTAGAGCTATGCCTACTTTTTTGAGTGTTTATCAAGAAAATTCAAAAATAGGTTTGGTTTAAAAAATCTTCTTCTCAAGAACCAAAACGAAGCCTAAGGATGACGTTTACTCTGAATTTTAGTTGACAAGAACGGATTGCTACAAAGTACAATATCTTAAAACAAAAATTATTCTAAAAGGACAAAATAACAATGTAATTAATAAATATCAATGTTAAAATTTAATTTCGTACTATTTGAGGAAAATATGCAACATCAAAGTTAAATTCTACGTGATGCAGAGGACATTCGGACTAGATTTTAATTTTTCATTTTCTTTCCATTTTTTTTCTTCTAACAATATTATTCTGAAAGTTAAGATACTATGTGTTTTTCCACATCATTTTACAAATATTATGTGTGTTTTTCAAAGGAATGAAGAGGAGGAAAATCTTTTAAGATTCTGATGAAGAAGAAAAGGAATAAGATTCTCAGGTGAACGCTAGGTGAGCAGGGGCATCTTGTTTCTATGGAATTGCAACATCGTGCTTTATTCCATTACATTACTTATTGTGTTGTTTTAAACTAGTCTTATGATGATAATCCAGTGTTCCGTATTTTTACTTTTATAGTGTGAGTGTGATAAATATGGCATTGATATTTTGGTACATGTTAACAATGTTTTTTTCATGCGATTGGATTACAATCCGAAGAAATTAAGATTAGAAGAAATCAATCAGTTATAAAGTATGAGTAAAGTGATATGAAATCTCACCTTTTCACGATCTCTTTTAAAATGGAGGACATCGTTAAAACCCTATTTTTTATATAGAAATTCTATCGTCCAGGGTTATCCCTGTGTAACTTACGGTTTTCTGTTACTTTTGTATCCCTTTTCACTGTTGACTACTCTGTTTTAGTACTTCTGAAAGGAAATAACTGCGAACTATACCACACATGACCCCACCTTACGAAGTTCCAGGGGTACCTGTTTTATGCCCTGTTAACAGATTTGTATTGTTTTAGGCTTTATGAGATCGATCACTTTGCGTTTTTTTTTTCACCTATTTTAATTTCAATTCAATTGATGTTCTTTTCTTTCTGCATAGGAAGATTTCCGGATAATGTTTTTTAAGAAGGATGTGGCTTCAGTTTGAATTCCTTCATTTAGGTTCTCAGGGGGTCAAACTCAAGGATATGCACTGATTTCTTTTTTCCCTCTTCTTTCGTTTTAGGGTAATATGCTGACTCATAAAGTCTTTCTTTTTGCCATCAGTAAGTGACATTTTGTATTTAGATTCAATATCTTGTTCATTATGCTAAATGCAACATTCTGTAATAGATATAAATAAAGGTATTATCCTTTTCCAAGCCTTGTTCACTTTTCGCCGTTTTAAATATGTTTGGCTGATATATATATAATGTCATAAAACGTACGATTTCTTTAGATATTCTAGAAATTTACCATTTATGTCTTTTTTTTTCAAAATCAGTCAACAAATATATACAAATTCATGCTTCAAATTTATTGTTGTTATTTATCTTGAAAATTGAGGAAGATTCTTTTTTCCGCCCAAAAACGAAAAAGGAACACGACGAATAAAATCAGTCAAAATATTTTAGGGATGCGTTTTTTTCCTCTAAAAAATATCATCTTACTCTTGATTAGCATACATAAGGTATGTGCAAATTCATTACGACCAAAACCAGTTCTTTACTTTAGAAATTTATAATGATCTCTTTGAATGTCTTAGTCATACAAATAATCATGTTACATGTATCATATCAGGTTTTTTTTTCATTTACAGTTGTCACCTTTATTCATTGTGACGAGAATGAAATACGGTTGGAACAAGATCTAATGAGAAACTACAGCAAAAACATCCGACCATCCAAGAACCACAGGGACCGTCTAGACGTTCTTCTGACAGTATCTTTAATCGGCATTGTTCAAGTGGTAAGGTAACTAAAGAATTAAGCTAACTACAGAATTATGAAGCCATGTATGCTATTGCATTATTAAGCCAGAAACGTACTGAAACATCTATATTTTACTGACAAACTTGGAAATTTACAGACAATGTACTGTCTTTACTCCTTGCGTCGCGGGTTCGAATCTACTGCGAAACGCGGAGACCTATCCTTTGAACGAGACGTAAAAACCGAGGACCCTTATCGCAATGGGTGTAAGCACGAAAAAGATCCCCCAATGCTCAATGGCCATGAAGTGCAGATTACAGGTTGATGAAACAAACAAAACAAACCGAACGCCATTCATGATAAAAACTATATACAGTAGTTCTCCCTGTCAGGAAGTTCTCCATCCGCACCTGAATGTATTATTAATAGGTAGTATCTTTATATACTCTTCAAAAATAGAAACGCATAGTAAAATTTTATTTCACACATCGAAGTGGAATGATGTATTGATGATAAAGAAATGTTGTAAATAATAGGTCTACAATTTAAATATCATAATTACTTTATTTTATTTTACAATCATAGACCGTTCAAAGTAATTAAATATCAATATATAATATGCCCTACACTGACACCAATGTTAGCCTAAAACTTCATCCCTATCGACGCAAATGCGTGTATTGAAAAATGTATGGGAATGTTATCCCACTCTAAATGTAGAGCTTTGGTCAGCTGTTGCAGTCTGGGGATGCGATTGTCTTCGGTGGATATGCCTATCCATTTTGACTAATGCATGCTCATGGGGTTTAAATCTGGCGATTTAAATGGCCAATTAAGGCAGAAAAAAGATGTCGAGGCTTTGCATAAAAAAAGCTTCTCAAACGGGCCGTATGTGTCTGTGTATGCCAGATTGAAATAGGGCTCAAGGATGCTGCATTATTGAAAAGACGTGTGCAGGAAGGACATCGTTAGAGTCCTTTAAATATGAACTACGTTAGCCCTAGTTGTACATGTATATAATACTGTTTTCCACATCATTACACTACCATCACCAAATCCATCAACCTCACGGAGGAGGCAGTTTTCTGTAAAACATTAATTGTGAAGCTTATACACTCTGACCCTTACATCAGGCAATAAACATTATGGACTAGTTGGTAAACCAAGCTGTTCAGTGGTGTTGTGTGGCCATACTCTGTTGGCCTGAGACCTTTGAAGTCAGTATTTGTTGCAATGACAATAACGCAAATCACTGAAGCGATCCTGTGCTACTGATGTCACGCGTGGTCTGCCATATTTTTAGCGATCATTTGTTGAACCATGCTGTTGGTGTCTGATTTATAGGTATGCTATGGTGTTTGTGCAACATTAAAACCTCTTGTAAATGTAGACATTGGTGACCTGCTTCCAGCCATCCAATTTCCTTCTTGAGATATGCATCATTCAGATGCAGCATTTTAAATAGCGTCAATTTTCAGAAAAAAACAGAATCAAAATTTCGAGAACCCCAGCTTTTGATAGACTTTTTGTACCTGAAGGATGTGGATCATAAACCAACAAAAGAAAACTGTTTGCAAAATCAGGCCTTTTGTTATTTTTTTCTCTGGAGTGGCTGTCAAGTTAACAATAGCGTTTAAAAATAATGCATTTTTTCAAGTGAGTCTTATCCATCTAAAAACTGTATGACAAAAGTAGTTTATATTATTCCGGGTATTATTCATTTTTGAACAGTATCTATATCTTTCAACGATCCGTCGAAATATGGCTTAATTAAGTATTACCGAGTCTGCATTTAAGAATTCTATCGATGTAAGTCCCACAGTTTTTGTTTTAGGCCTGAAGATCGATATACCACTAGTTCGTTCACATAATGTTTTGTTTATTTTCTATTGTACTGCACATGTTCATTGGATTCAAATAGTTTTTTCTACTTATTGAATCTTTTACTTGTAAAACATATGATGGTTACCATTATATAATGTTTCTTGAACGCATAGTAATGCGCATACTGATCATCAATAATATGAAAAGAGATTTTGGATGAACTGTAAGTAAATTAAACAATGGATTGTTGATTGATTGTATGTTGTTTTACGGGACGTTCGAGAACTTTTTACTCATATAGAGACATCACCATATATCGGTGAAGGGCTTCAAGTTCAGACCTTTACTCGGCACTCAGGGCCATTGAACAGTGAGGGTTCTTTATCGTGCCAATGCTCACCGTGATACGGGGCCTCGGTTTTAAGACCCGCAACTTTCACCTCAAAGTGCCGAGCGCTTGGCAAAGGAACAGTGCTACCTATTTTTCATCGACTTAGGTCAGTCGCGGCCGTGATTCGAACATACGACCTTCTGATCACTGAGCGAGCGGTCTACCGACTGAGCTACCCTGACGGTAAATTAAACAATGGAGAAAAAGTGCATTTTTTCTACACACATAATTTCTAAAGTGTAATTATTTTATCTCCGTATTGAAATTAATGCAATTAATAATTTTACTGACCTGCATCATTAATTGCTCAAAAATGAAATCAATTAATGAATCTTAATGCTAATAATATTTCCAAAGTTCCAATATTTGGACATCTTGAAACAGGATGGTAGTAAAATATATATTTAACTATATAATTACACAAAGGAATTCGACTTGTAGCAAACTATGATATTATTTGGATTATATTTCTTATCATCAAATTAAGACTTCATTTTCAATTACAGATGCAAAACTGTACCAAAAATTACAGTAATAGATTGATAATTAATAATTTGTCATTTAACAACTCTTAATATAAATGATCATAATATTCACACACAGAAAAAAAGAAATAGTAAAACACTTTTTCATTAAGTTAATAAATGCAATTATGCAATTAAAGTTTAGAAAGAAATGAAACAGTCAAAATAAAACAGTACCTGATTGCAGAGCATGTAAACATTGCACCTCTGTTACAACGCACTTTGAAAAATTACGCACTTTAAAATTGTTTTTCAAAGTGCGTTAAATTAGAGACCAATTGAACGCATTTTAAATAAAACATATTTCTTTTCACAGTGCGTTAATACCGACCATATTAACGCACTTTAAAAAAAAAATAAGCACGGCTTGGTCAATATTCCTGCAAATTTTAGGTATGAAAAATAATTATTTGAACCTGGTTGGATAACATTTCGGTGATGTCGTCACTTCAGGATCTGAGATATAGATGTTTTAGAGATTTTAGGGGTTGTTTTGTTCCCAAAGGTTCTCGTAAATGTTAAAAAGGGGAAAGGAGTCTTTTAGAAATAATGGAGGAATGATTGTTTACTAGCACAATTTCGTTTGTTTTTCTATTTTATCCAGTATGTAATAAGTTCGATGGATGTAAGGGTCAATAAGTGACTTGAAGCATTGTATTTTTCTTAATAGGGAAAAAGGAACAATTATAAATTTTTCCATACCATGAAAATTCTCCCTCTCTCTCTCATCTATCTATCATATTCATTTATCTATCTTTTGTGAACATATAATAAATAATGGTTGACTCATTTATGTGATAGTAAGAAAAATGAACCTTAGCCACATTACTCACTCGACTAAAATTTTTACCTCGTTCACTTTTTCTGAAAAATAAATCTTATAAACAAAAGTTTATGCATTCAAATTACTTTAAATCTGTAATTTGATATCATAAAAAGACTAGACATGTCATATAGCATGTTTATTTACCATGCAAATGCCTTTTTTATCTGAGGAATCATTGTGGATAATACGGTTAAGGTATTTATTTATATTTATATTTCTTAAAATATGTTTTTGAAAGATTAAACTTAAAGTGTGCGTAAGAATATATATATTTTTTTATTTGTATTGTATTTGATTTTGTAAAGCTACTTTGGCCAAAGTATAGTCAGTTGGCTATTATTGCTTAGATCAGCGATATGGCCCGTGAGCCTCTCCTCTTTAATACAATAGGGTGCGTTCTTTTTTTTCATTCAGGAAAGCTTAGCTCATTTTTTTCATCTATATATTTTACATTAACTCAAATTTATTGAGAGAAAGTATATCAATGTCATACCAGTTATGTAAATACGTTTATTTGGGTAGGAAAGATGAAGAGTTGACCTGAGGGACCTTCTACCTCTCTTCTCCTCGTTCTCGATGAGGGTAGATCAATTTATGTTTTTCGAAAGAAACAAAATAATGTTGTCTTTTACTATAATCTTAGTCCAGAATTTTTGTTTTATGCATATTTTTTTCAAAGTGCGTTAAGTGTCTTCATGGTAGAAAATGTTGATGTACACTCTTTACGCACTTCGAAAAAAAAAAATCCAAAGCGCGTTGATTTTGTCCCAATTTCAACGCACTTTGAAGAAATTTTTAAAAGTGTGTATTTTTTTTTAAAGTGCGCTGACACACACCTCACATACTCGGTCAATCGAATTTATTAATTATCTTTTAAGTAGCACGAGAGAAGCTAGTTAACTAACTAGCTAACTAACTACATGTAACTAACTAACTTATTAACTAACACGTATATATATAAAAATTAAATAAAAGTCAGATAGTATGAATATCAAACACATACAGCAATTCGGGAAACACTTAAAAAATATTTTTTTACGTTCAGAGAAATGAAGCGAAGTTTCTTTGATTATTAACATTAAATTTAGACGTCATAAAACTAAACAGCAGATCACTTTGAATATAATATCAGAGCCTCGTTTCATTTTATCGCATCACGTCCTATACTAGTGTAAGAAAACCACACCTTATCTGACGGATATGGTGCATACCTTACTGTTAGATAAAGAAGAAAATCTTTAAATACACAACATCAAGTTATACGAAAGAGTGCTTACATGAGCTTTACCAAATTATTAAGATAGTACAGATGAGACCGTCACTGTATTTCTTACAGAAAAGTTAATCACTAACAAATGCAACAAACTTGCTTGAAAATATAAAGAAAACTCTTATTATCGAAGACTGCATCTCTAATATTTCACTTTAATGTACGCTGTTCGCATTTTAGAGATAGCTGCAAGGCAAGTTTTTGGTGTAATTTGTATGTCCAATTTCTGTTGCAATTCTTTGAAGTAGTATTTTTTCAACCCTGGAAAAGTTGATGCATTGATGGAAAGTCTGCCGCGGCAACTCAAAGATGAAAACATGTGACCTGTTATATATAATATTAATTGATTAGCATTTGAAGACCTCAAACTCATTTTTGCATCACCTCTACTTTATGATTAAATGTACAGCCTTTTCCCAACTTTTTCATTCACCTTTTTTTTTTTAGTTTTATATTTTATCAATTGTATGAGGATCTATTTTTTGTGATTTATTCGTGCTGATATATTACTCTCAAAGAGTGCAAAATCGGCAAACATATCTATCGCAAAAGATCGTTATTAAACTTTATTTTACATTGAAACAAAGTTACTCTTCACCAATTGAGGAAATAAATCAGCATCGCTTAGGTAATGTGCTTTTCATCTGGCTTCTTTCCTGTCTGATTATTCTTATCTATACTTATAAATCAATAAATTTTACAAATCAACTTTGAAAAGCTTGCTCCAGAATTCATATGTACACTATATTTAGGTTTCACTCGTATATTAATTATCGTAAATTTGATTGAAAACCTAACATTGTTTTCAAAAATAGGTCGTGAAATCGCAGTAAAGAGAGTACGGTGGTGATCACGGCTGGTAAATCTAAGTTTCTGGCGATTATTAATGAAATTGACAATCAACAATCGTTTGATATTTGATAGAACGTTATCAGTAAATTATTCAATCAAAAAAAAAAAAAAAAAAAAAAAAAAAAAAAAAAGCAAACAAACAACCCCCCCCCCCCAAAAAAAAAAAACACAACAAAAAACAAACAAACACACAAAAAAAAAAACAACAAACAAACAAACAAAAAAAAACAAAAAAAACAAAAAAAAAACAAAAACAAAACAAAAACAAAAACAAAAACAAAAAATCAACCTATTGTTCAATTTTCCCCTCCACATTTCTTTATATTTTTTCCAAAATTAGTAGGTACTTAATCTGTGGAGAAACATAAGGATGGATACACAGGCAACATCAGTTATTTCTCTTGTTATTATATAATGTGACACATGCTGATGTGTAGAGGAAGGGGAAAAATCATGCACATGCATATTTTTCCAGTTTTTCCAGCAAAACTTTATTATTTCTTGTCCCAGTGCACTTTCCCCTTTAACTGATAAGTTCCTTTAAATTAAAAACACAGACATCGCTGTGAGAAGATATCTTGCTAAAACAGGAGGAGGTATAAAAATAGATTTAAAAAAAAACCCACAGCATTATTGTCTTAACGAGGCCTTATCTACTTGATCTGAGCATACTTCACGCATCGTTGTTTCAGACGCATCAAAGTAGCCTTGATTGCCGTCACATTTCACTATCATAACATAACTGTAAAAAAATGACCTCAATTTGCTCTAAAATATGGCAAGCCCTTTTACTATTTATTCGTAAAATAATTTTTTCTTTCAATAAAAGAGATATCTCTTAAGCTTAGAGAGATATCTTTTTAGCTTAGAGATATCTCTTTGCCCAAAAGAGATATCTCTTTGACTATGAGAGATATCTTTATAACCTAGAGAGATATCTCTATAAACAAAAGAGATATCTCTTTTTGCAAGAGAGATATCTCTTTTACTTAGAGAGATATCTTTTTTTAAAGCTAGAGAGATATCTCCTTAAGCTTGAGAGATGTCTCTTAAAGTTAGAGAGACAACGTTAAAAGAGGTATCTTTCTAAGTTAGAGAGATATCTCTTTAGATTCTAAAAAACAGATATCTTTCTAAGTTAAAGAGATATCTCTTTTAATGAAAGAGATATCTCTTTTCAAGTTATCCTTAAAATGAAATAATTATTCCTCCCCTGTAATACGAAAGCGAGGCTAGACACCACATGGCAGGAAGTGTAATGTATGGTCACCTACTGATGTAGATGAAAGATCTCAGCCTCCGGAATAGATTCAGCATGCCCAATCCCAGAACGAAGTATGTAGAAAGAAATGCTAAATCCCTTGTTTGAAACAACAAAAGGATAATGACTACTTCGTTGATAAACATGCTAAAGTCTTTATATTCAGGAAAACGAAAGTAGGCTAGCAATAATCGCAACTGCGGTGGACCGAATTTTCTCAGCCTCTGAAATAATCAGCTGTGTCTAATTTTAAATCTAGACAACACTGAATTACTTGTCATATTTATTTAAGTTATATTGTAAAATAGGCCAAATTTAAAGACTACTTTAATTAACATCCTCGTCGAAATCAAGTTGGAGAAATGGTGGGGTCTATCCGTTGAACAGTGAACTTTTGCTGAATATTTTTATTGGGCGTAATTAATGTTGTTTTGTGGAAAAAAGTGGGGAGATTTGCTCCCAGCCACCTACCAGCAATTCTACAAGTTAGCCCCATTAGGTTCTGATACTCATGGTTTAATGCACAGGTGCTTGGGGACAGGACCCCCCCCCCACCAGGCCGTTGCAACGATTTCAAAAGGCGAGGGGGGGGGGGGTAGCAACTTCTCCAAAAAACATTAATGGCTCTCTGAATTATTTTTCATGATTTTTTAAAGCATTTGTTGATGTATAATGGACTTTAAAAATTCACAATTGATGCAATTAATAAGCTATACATGCATATGTATCCAGAGACATAAAAAAAAAAATAACCTCTCTATTCATATCATTGGTATATTTTTATACATAGCTTATTAATGCATTAATTGTGAATTTTTATAATGCATTATACATCAACATATATGCTTAAAAAATTTAATCAGAAAATAACTCGGGAAGCCCAAATTTTTAGAGGATGGGGGTGGGTTGTGTTCCTGTTCCCTTGAAGCACCTGTGGTTAAAATATGTACATTTTGTCTCTTGTCTTTTATACAATAAGCTGAACTCTGATTGATTGCAAAGATCAATAATATGCGCTAGTCATTACCCTTCAATAAATTGCACAAAAAATTAACAAATTTAAATAACATTCTAACTAAAATTAGATCTTTATTCCGCTCCAACAAGATTGCTACACATTGCTGTCTAGTTGGATCTAATTTTAATTTTTTCTGCTCTCACTAGAGGAAAGGGATCAAGGCATTTTTTGATTTTGATGCAAATTCTATTGTGTGAAATGAAAATAAAAATTATAATAATGGATTGCCAAGTCATAATTGCAACACTTCTTTTATGGAAATCTATAGCTTGGACTTTTTTTTTAGAAGTTTAAAAATTTGCCTTAGCAGAATGGAAATACCTTCCTTGTCATCTGAAATGTAGGAGAATATACATGTAGGTACCCCTTAATCTTCAGATTTTTATGCCCCCGCCATTAAATGGTCGGGGGGCATATAGTGTTACCCTGTTCCGTCATTCTGTTATCATTGAATTTCCTTTCATTATCTCTGCAACAGTCGTATACGTTCAACTCAAATTTGATATATGGATACGCAGGTCTAGTTTGAATTTGGTCATGGTATTGACAGTTATCCCCCTTGAACTTGGAAAAGATTTAAAAATTCTCAATTTCTAATCATTATCTTGGCTACAAATGTGCAATATACAATTTGCAATTTGAAATTTTGGCTGTCTGCGGGGGCATTTGTGATGTTACCACACATTTAGTTTGTAAAATAAAATCCTTGCCCTTTGGTCTTTGTTTTCATTTCCCAGCAAAATTAATCTATCACGGTACATGTACATTCTCTGACAATTCCTCAGAATTTCTTTCTATATTTTTGAAATCAAATATTTCTGAAATTAAGCAAAGTTTACGGTTCTGTGCAGTCATTTAGGGTACATACCAGTAATATTCCAAATCCCTTTTCATTTAATTTTATTTGAATGCAAAAGGTGTAAATAATTTTATGCCAGAAATTGGCTGTTTGTTATTGACAGAAAGCAGTTTCAGTGACTATGGCACATTTTACTGAGTATACCTTCCATAAAGTAACCATGACTGGGAGATTTTTTTTCTTATCTCTGATATAGTGTGAAACAGGTCACTTCAAATAATTTGTGTGTTGCAGGTTGAGACATCTGAGTTGTGTCCACTCCTTTGTCATAATGCCAGCTAGTGTAAAGCTGAAATTGATCAATGTACTCTAAGCTGACTTAAGACTGTGCTCTAGCCCTGGTGTATTCCTAAGGGAATGGAGAGCCAACAGGTATTTATTCTTACTGATTGCATGACTAAATATTAATAAAATATATTAATCATATCTTAATGAATTCTATCTGTTCACCAATCTTTGATTTACCACATTATTTAAAAAAAAATGTTACACAGAGGAATTGTCCATTACAGAAAGACAACTATAGTTGTAAGGGTCCAATCACTATGAATCGATTTCATTGAACATTTATATGGGAATGGGATATAACTCAGTCAACAATATTAGTTTTCTTTGTAATATCCTTAGCTTTGAAATTTTATACATGTTTGGCCACAGAAGGAAGACACATGTAGTTTATGAGATCACACAAAATAAGTTTGTTTGTAGACCATTCATCACATTTATGGTGATGTGTTAAATACACATAAATAAATACATGTATAACTTTAATTCACTCTGTCTTACAAATTAAAACCCTTCAATATTATATACAGAAGTAGTTGATGAAAGGTTGACACCTACATACTCTGCAAATGAACTTAAAATTTAAGAAATACCAGGTACATGTTCTAAGACTGAATTGTGTGTCTTTCAAGCTTGTTTACTTCCATTGTGAATTAATAATTAAACCCTTAGTTTGGCCCTCTCTCACTTTCATATTTTTTTAAATTTTATATTATCTATTCCTTTAATTGCTTAGCTTGACATTGAATGATCAGTTACATTTCTACATTTTGTTATATTTATTTTTGAAATAATAATTTCACAGGTGAATCACAAGAAGCAACTACCTAAAAAAAGTTGAGAATCTGAGGGTGTCCTACCAAACCTATCCTGTCCTGTTTGAAGAATTCCAGGCCATGAAAAGTGATGCGCAGACACTTCTACACTTTCTGCACATTTACTTGTTTTTAAATGTCAAAAATTGTTTGAAAAAGTTTTATTACTTACTGGTACTGTGTATATGCATGTATCCACATTTCAACAATGACAAAGCAATTTATTCCCAAGTCAATTAAACAATGTATCAGTGTTTTCTATATCTTTATTTGAATTCAAGATAAAAAGGTTATTACATGTACATACCAATACTTAAGTTTTTGTGTACTGGTAATACATGCTATGAAAAATTGTAATATCATAAAGTATAGTCACCCTGATGCTTATACATGTACTTATATGACTTTTTTTTATTTAAGGGGTCTTCCCAAGTTAAGTCAGTAAAATCTAAATCTGCAAAAATTCAATCATTAAGGATTCAAAAATACCTTCCAGTTATGGCTGAATTGTCATGGATTCTACCTGCATGTATACAATAATTGAACTATGCCTATATAATTCAATAACTGTGAACAAACTCCAAAATTATACCCCCTATACAATTTTTTTTTCTGAAAATACCAATATCAGTTTTCTAAATGTGACCTTGAACTTGCCAAAATGATACTGGTTAAGAAAGAAAAGATGCATCTTCTAGTCATCATAAATCTTTAAATAAAAGGGAGATATTTACTGTTTCTCCATTAAGACATGGACCTGACATGAGCAATTTTTCTTGCCAATGACCTTGAACTTGCCACAATATCATGGGTAAAGGTTAAGATGTACTTTCAGCTTACAAATAATCTTTGAAGTTTCCAGTTTCAATATTATCCATGAGGGAGTAATGAAATGAAAACAAATTTCACATCTTTCCTGCCAGTAATCTTGACATTGGATAAGGTCATGAAACACCATTTAGTCATAAGCAATCTTTGTGTCAAGTATCATATGCAAATTATGCATTTGACAAAGGTAATACACTTTTTCTGCCAGTTACCTTGAACTTGCTAAAAATGACCTTGATTTAAGATCAGTCATAACCTCAGGTCATGCTCAATATTTGCGATAAGTATATGAACCTCTAAATGTTCTCAATTACAGGATATAGTAAAACAGGAATTATAGATTTTTATAAATTTTTATTTTATAAAAATCACCTCAAACTTCATCAAATAACCTTGGGTCAAGCTAAGGCCATCATACATATATTCAATTTGTGCATGAGGCACAAATTTCCAATGATTCTTCAATAAGAAATCAGGGTTTGGGCTACAGTCAGCCTTTTCATTTAGCCCTCACTCAAAAAAGTGTAAGATAAATATGAACAACATAAAGAAAAGAAAATGAAAGAAAGACAAAAATTTTATATTACTTATAGATGAATGAAAAATGAAACTAGTGTATTGAGAGCTAGAATTGAAAAAAACAAAAATCTAAGTTATAAACTTGACTGCCGTTAAATTGAATGTATTGTGTAAAAATATTATACATGTGAAATATTCTACCACTCTCTACCATTGGCCCATACATGTCTGAGAGAGGAACAAACGACAACTCTGCATAGGAGATCGATATCCTACAAGTTTAAATAAGGTCCACAGTATCAGTAAACATAATGAAAAAACTATACAAACATCACATGTTATTTTTTTTTTCTGTAGCCAGAAGATTAATAATAGGACAATAATTTCTTCTTGGTTTGCCGTTTTGCTGAACTGTATACAGTGAATTGTTAAATTGTGGTCACTTGACAAAGGTGGAGTAAAACCTCTCTTGTTGATAAAACTTGGATATTTCAGAGTTCCACAGATCCATATAGGGCATTCAGGTGGGTTCAATTTCTGGTGGCCAGATAGTTAAATTGGTAGATAAAATCACTACTGATTCAGGAGGCCCTGACTTGAATCCTGGTCTGGTCCATACACCCCATTGCTTATCTCTTTTCTGTCTATGCAAAGAACTTGACAATGCAGACTTTCCCTCAATGATAGAAGTGCTGGTCTCTGCAGAATGTACTTGTGACCTACACATACACAAGGAGAAATCTTTTAAGACTTTAAGAGAACATAGTGTCTTTTTGAATTGATCTATTTCATGTTTCAATGTTGTTAACAGCATATTTCTAAGTTATAATAAAATAATACATACACATGTAAAAACTAACTCGCACTTTTTCAGGTAATCATATTGACTTGTTACAATCACTGGAATCTTGGACGTCCATCGCATTCAAAGACAAGTGTCACAGAAAGTGTACTGGACATACCCTTGTTGCATTTCATATCTGAAACAATGACAGAAAAAAATTGTAGGGGATGTTTCATTAATCATTACACGTAACTGATCTTTTTAAATTAAATACAGTGGTCTGCAACTGCACTAGAAAAACATGAAATCAAAAGGCCCATGGCCACAATGATTACCTTAGTCACTAAGGCCATGTTGTTCTTTATAAGCAGATCCCCCCCATATCTTTCGAAGTAAAACTTGATTGTTTTGTCTGTTCTGGCTCAACCCTAGCCCCTAGAGACATGAGAATCCCAGCTCCCTTAGAAATATTACTTATCTTTTGATTGTTCTTGAGAAGAGATTTTTAAAGTTTTGTTTCCGTATATATTCCTTTGTAAAACTTTAATTGCTCATAATGGTCCCACCATACCCCCCCCCCCCTCACCCCCCCCCCCGGTCATAATTTGAACAAATTTGATTGAACGTACAATACACAACCTAATGCTTCCATGTAAATACAGTTTAACTTCAATATCGAGAACACTGATATCTCGAATACCATGGATATGTTGAAGTCCCAATCACTTATTGTTTAAGTAATATACCCTTGATATCTCGAATCCTCAGATCTCTCTGTTTTTTCTTGGTCCAATTGAGTTCGAGATAATGAGATTTTACTGTATGAACAATTATGCCTTAGCTTGATTGAGAAGATTCTATAAAAAATTCCTACATTTATATTCTAATGTAAAACTTGATCACCCATTGTTGCCCCATATACATACTACCCTAGGGGGTCAATTAAGCTATAAATGATCGTGAATCTACACTTGAATCTACACTATATAATAAAGCTTGCACATTAGTTTCAACTCACCTGGCCCAGTGGTTCTTGAGAAAGGTTTATATTTATCAAATATGTCATAAAATTTTCACTAATTATCTATTATCTCCTATTGAAAGAGAGCGGGGCCTTTAATTTGAATCCCCTTCATTTGATCCACAAAGAACAAGGTACGGTTTCAATACGAATCTTGCCCTGTGTTTTTCTTAAAAAATAAAAGTGATGTAAAAAATCAAAACTCATGCTTTTTGAATTATTGAAATTCCATGCAGAAAGATCATACAAATCTTTTTTCTCACATGACCTTCCAAATGCTAATTGTGACGTCATAAACTTGTGCATTTTCCCGTATTTTCTTAAAAAGATGCAGAAGACATCAATTTTCAATGGAATTTTCTTTCAGATAATATTGTCCACAGGCATCGCCCACAAAGATTTTGAGATATGTGATTTTTCAAAGAATTTTACACAACATATCTAAAAATTAACGTGGGCGACGGATGTGGATACTCTTTTCTTAAGGAAAATAACCCTTGAAATGGGTCATTCTGAGGCTTTTTCTGTTTAAAATAGAGAAATGCATCAAATTAATGACGTCATATATCCAGAATGGTACTCCATCATGCTATATTCTTTCCTGATTTATTACAGTCATATACTCAACTAATATTTAAGCCAGTTTCAAAACTTTTGAAAACATTAAATTTTTAGGGCACAATAAAGCTAAGACCATACCTTCTTCTTTAGATCAGAATTCAAAGCTCAACTGAGCCTTCAGCACAGGAAAGCTAAATATGTTTCAAAATTAAGGGGACAATCATTCCATTCTAAGAAGGAGGGATAGAGGGCTATTTTTCAAGACAGCTTATTTTTTTCCATACAAGTGAAGGACAAACTAACTACTTTTCAAGATGATAAATACAGAAAATTATATATATTTTTTCTTCACTTATAACATTTTTAACACCCCCCCCTTTACACACACAGACAAGGGGGGGGGGGGGGGGAGGGGAGAAGGACAAATTATTTGTTTTCAACATTTTGAGGTTCAGATTATTTATTTCCAAAATCTGCAAGTCACTTCCCCCTTTCAGAATCAAATGGTCTACTCGCTTTCCACAGGCACTTGTTTCTGTAATACTTTTTTACTAACATAAGGTATCCAACTCGTATACATGCAGGTAACGATCACAGGGGGTGCTTCCGGAATGTAAACAATGTTAATAAAGAGAAAGAAATATTTGTAGATCTACTAAATTGTATCAGTCGTCACGTTGGGTTTAATATATATATATATATATATATATATATATATATATATATATATATATATATATATATATATATATATATATATATATATATATATATATATATCTTTAATTATATTGTTTACATTTCGGGAGCAAGCCCCTGTGATACGTTTACGATGTTTCATGATCGGCTAAGTTTCTTACCCTGAACTTCTTTCCATTAAATCAGTTGATCAAGCATTTGTAGAAGGACAGTTCCCTTTTTGTGTTGTATCTTGGGGTCATTGTTACACCTGCAAGTCAGTAATTTGCTCACAAATACCATAAAACACCACATGTTCTACTTTCTCTTCTCTACTTTCGCTTTGATTTAATGCATTTCCGTGAATATAAAGCTTACTTCCGGTAAAGGGAGAAGTCATTAAAATGCTTTTTTAAATAAAAATAATGTAGAGAGATATCTATTTACAGTAAAGAGATATCTCTTTTTTGCTTGAGAGATATCTCTTTTGGACACTTTTGAAAGATATCTCTTTCACTTTGAGAGATATCTCTTAAGATAAACTTAGAGAGATATCTCTTTTACTTTGAGAGATATCTCTTTAACTTGGAAAGATATCTCTCAAAGTAAAAGAGATATCTCTCTAGGTGAAAGAGATATCTCTCTAAGTGAAAGAGATATCTCTTTAACGCTAAGAGATATCTCTCTTAATGAAAGAGATATCTCTCAAAGGAAAAGAGATATCTCTATTAGTGAAAGAGATATCTCTCTGAGTGAAAGAGATATCTCTCTAAGTGAAAGAGATATTTCTTTCTTAGAGAGATATCTCTTTAAGTTGAGAGATATATCTTTAAGTTGAGAGATATCTCTGTTTTTTAAGAGATATCTCTCTAAAATAAGAGATATCTCTGTAATTTTGAGTGAAAATTTATTTTACGAATAAATAGTAAAAGGGCTTGCCATACTAAAATATTTCGCGGTTCTTGCATATGTCTAGCGTGTACACATAATAAGATTTTATTGATATTTTTATCTTGTATTATGCTTTAGTAAATGAATATAAACAACTTTTCAACATAATTTTATTTAAACTAATATTGCCCATTTCTGTGTAGAAATACAACAGTTTTATGTACAAAACAATTATGTTAACTTTGGAGTTTAGAAAATGACAGCTGCAAAAAGAAAATGCTTTCAGTCATTCTCTATAAAACTATATATTTTGCTTATTTGTTGATAACTTACAATGTAAACATGTACACATTAGCTTCCATTTATTACCTATCTAAGAATTATTCAAATATAACAGAGATGAAATATGTATCAAGTTTCTTTTCTTATGTACATGTATTACACAATCTTTTTCATCCATTCTTATTCTGACCTCCCTCCCATTACTACGTTAACAATGTTGTGTGTTAAACAATTTGAGAAGGGAAAAGAGAGTCTCTCATAATGTACGAAGCCTTTACTATCTCCAAACAAACACATTAAAACAATTATGCTGATTTTAAATACACTTCATGCGACTTGAAAATATTTCAGATAAATTTGTACACAGTAGTCATATTTTCGTGTTTTATATGTCCCCCTTTTATGCTCTTCCACAAAGGGATATCTACAATTTTCTTTTCATTTTATAAATGAAGGAAAGCTATTGTATATACATATCGTATGTGAATTGCAAAACATTGCAGTGTTCTTTTTTGTTTTAATTTGTCGATTCTTTTGATGATGAAGTAGTTTTACTATATACATGTACATGTATTAGTGTGTAAATCTACGAAAAATGATAAACATTTCAAATTTCCCTCATTCTACTACAATCAATGCAAAATAATAAGATTTGCTTTTAATTTTTCTAAGATAGGAAAATTACATAGGGCAAAGAAAAAGGTTTAGAAAAACAGCTAGCACTACTACTAAACTACCAAACACTATTTATTTACAATGTTACAAGTTTAATTTGAAGTTTATAATCAGTTATAAAGAAAGAAATCCGGACCGCTATGAAATACGTCCGGTCTCTCGGTTGTATTCTGGTGAAGTGCCATTTAGATAATTGAACGAATTAATTATTGCTAATTAATTACCGCCAAGCAGTAAATCGTACACTGTCTTATTCTCTCAAAATAGCGTAACTTTACATGATAAAAGGAAGTCAAAGAAAGATAATTTAGACGTACTATACATGTCAATTGGAAATGTTTTAGGACTGTTTATCGGATAAAAGAAATAATAAACAAAAATGTATGCAAAAAATCTGTGCGTGGGTTGTTCCAGAATTGATAATGCGAATTAACGGTAAAGTTAACACTATATAGAGAGAATAAACTTGTTTGTTACAATCAGGAATTGGGTCTAGTTCACGTTCATCCTGGAGAAGTCATTTAGTTTGTTGATACCATTAGGGCGAAATGACTTCAGTCTGTGCATCCAGAACTTTTCCTTGCTTTTTCTCTGTCCAATTCGGATTATGGTCAATAACCACTACTGTCATGTTCTCCCATTTGTGACTTTCAAGGTTAAAAACCGTTCACGGTAGCTCAGTCGGTAGAGCGCTCGCTCCGTGATCGGGAGGTCGTGAGTTCGAATCTTGGCCGCGACAGACCCAAGTCGATAAAAAATGGGTAGCAACTGTTCCTTCGCCATGCGCTCGGCACTTTGAAGTGAAAGTTGCGGGTCCTTCGGATGAGACCTTAAAAACCGAGGCCCCGTGTCACGGCAGGCGTTGGCAAGATAAAGATCCCTCACTGCTCAATGGCCCTGAGTGCCGAGTAAAGGTCAAAATTTGAAGCCCTTCATCGGTATATGGTGACGTCTCTATATGAGTGAAAAAATTCTCGAATTGGACGTAAAACAACATACAATCAAGGTTAAAATGTTCCCCAACGGGTTCATTGATTTTTTTGGTCTTAATGGTCGAACGTTGATTATTCATTCTCCTGCGGAGTTCTCCCGTTTCCCGAACGTACTGTTTGGAACAAACTTTACAACTGATGAGATATATGCAGTTTTCTGTTTGACAAGACAAATTCAATAGACTTCTGTAGCTGCGGCCTGTAACGGGGCTTTTAAAGCTGTCTGTGTCAGAGCTGTGCTTACAGAGAAGACATCTTCTGTCAGAGCAAGCTCTAAAGCCTCCGTTAGGTAATGGATTGTCCAATCTGGTTCTAACTACCATGTCCTTTAAGTTCCTCGGGCGCCTATAGGAGATATATATATATATATATATATATATATATATATATATATATATATATATATATATATATATATATATATATATATATATATATATATATATATATATATATATATATATATATATATATATCTGAATTTTAAAAAAAAATAATCGTGCATTTTTCAATTTGCAACTAGACCGAGCCTCGTTTATACAGATTGATCTCAAATTCTTATTAATTCTTCGTAAGTTACTAATAAACCTTTTTGTAAACTTTAATATCTATTCAAAACTTTAGAAGATACAATGTAGATCTAGAGCGAAAAATACTCAGCCAAATTAAAAAAAGAGAAAGTTATACAAAGAGACAAACAAACAGTCAAACACAGTTGGAACAAGCATTGACAATCACTTTATCATTAACCGGGATTATTCGGGGGAAAAAATCCGGTTATTGAAATGTTGAAAATGATTGGCTGGCTGGCGGATGGCTGCCAAAAAGGTACATCATTTCTCCGGATAACTCTGTCTACAATTTTTTAAGATAGGAAAATTTTTGCTTTGCAGATGAATTGTACATACAACATGTATATCAGAGATGTGCATACTGCTTGTATTTTGGTTTTGATAACTTATGAGAAAAATACCAGTTGTTGAACTTAGTCACTGTTAACTAAATATTGCGTATAGGGTACCCCATTTGTCCGGATAACTCCTCCTACAGATTTCAAGATAGGAATTTCTTATTTTGCAGATTATATTAATAGGACATAGATCAAAGATGTGCATACTGTTTGGATTTATAATTTAGAAAATTTATGCGAAAAATACATCTCCTGAAATCAGTCATTTTTTTTGCAAAATATTGCATATAGGGTACCCCATTCGTCCGATAACTCCTCCTACCCCTTATTTTACATCAATTGTACATTTATCAGAGGTTTGCATATGACTTGGATTTTTATTTTTGATAATGAGAAAAATACCATCTCTTGAACTAAGTCATTTTTATATCTCCTACAGTTTTTAGAATAATACAAGACGTTCACATTTATAAGAGTTATTTCCCTTTCAGATTCAATCTAGGGTCAACAGACATGAGATGCTGTTATCCCTCTATAACATTACCAACTTTACTGGGGTAGTATCTGATAAATAAAATCTATATGTGTGTGTTCATTATGTTAACTTTTTGCCCCTTTCTTTGCCACTAAAGGTATGGTATAAAATTGTCGAAAGATATCTAATATTTAAATTTTTTACAGGTAATTTAGAAAGGATATAGTGAGAAAAATGGGTATTTCACTACAAAGGGAAATAACTCTTCCAAATGTTAAATTTCCATATTCATGTGAGAAACTCCAGTTCTGTTCACTCAAAGAAAAACCCCGTTTGCTGTCATATTGACGCCTTTAATTTCCATTTGTTTTCTTCTCTTAATTGATAACGTTCATTGAAAAATAATTTAATTATTTCATTGAAAGGTACCCTTCTTTTATTTTTTTTTAATATTATCTATATATTTTTTTTTTATAAAGGACGAACACAACCAGCTACTAACTTCCAGTTGTTTGGTTCAAATGGTGAGTATTACATGTATAGAAAATGCTGACATGTATTTGGATAAATAAATATGTTAAATTTATACTCAAAAAGGAGAAGAAAATATAGTATTCATTTGTTTGATTTGTTTTGAACTACTATATGTATTTTGTTTAATTATCATCACATTATTACCATTTTGAAAACAATTATATAGTACATCTAATTGTGCAAATGTAACTGTTTTATGTCGGTTAAAGCTTTAATAAAAGCACTGAGAACGATATTTTCTACTTAATAAAATCGAATGACATAAACTATATGTATTTGCATGCATGGACAATTGATGCATTGTAGCAACCTCTAATGATAAAACGCCGCTTAATGATACAAATATCATTAAGGGTTGCAATTGCAACGCTTAATGCCATAAATTATTGCATTAGTAGTTGACATTCTCAACCGCTAATGCTAAATCGCCGCTTAATGATAGAATTATATCATTAAGCGTCACAAATTCAGAGCAACAACGACGCTTAATGAAACAAGCAAATATTTATATATAATCGACGGTTAATGATACACACAAGCATGAGGGTTGTCCGTAAAGTTCGTGGACAAGCTAAAATTTAAATAAAAGTTGTGTCATAGATATCTATTATAAGCATATTTATAATCCTTTACTATATGTGAATTACAAAATGAAAAATTTTATTCAGTTTTTAGTGTATAATTACAATTATGACTTCATTATTAGACTTGGGATGGTTACCCGGAGCACAACAAAGTTTTAATTAAAAAGGTATTTATCACTTTATACATTTCATTTGTATTTTGTAAAATACCCGGAAATTTGGATGGCTTTCACAGTATGAGGTTGACAAAAGTTATAACGTCAAACCTGTACAATTTGAACGTTCAAAGTCACAAAATGGCCGAGAAATCGAGGTCAGAGTTTATTAAGACAGGATCATCATTGTTCAAAAAAGGGACATTTTCGGAAAAGGTGGAGCAGAGAACAGTGATAAAATTTTGTGTAGACATTGGAAAAACACCAACAGAGATCCATAAATTCCTTAAACAGTCGGGAAATCATAGTAAAGTAAGCCATTCTTTAGTGTTTAAGTGACACAGAAGATTTTTGGACGGAAGGGACAGTTTACAGGATGACATGCGTGAAGGAAAACCATCTTTCCGAGATTGCAGTGCTATAAAAAATGAAGTTCGTAACGTGACTTTGCCGTATTTCCGTACATACAGTCGTTTTACGCGGACAGCGGTTTGATTATTTGCAGGATCTGAGACAGGAACTGTTAAATATTATTTCACGTATGAAATTAAACCAGAACAGTTTGTGCACATTTTTGATGACTGGTTGAAGAGACATAAGAAATGTGTTGAGTTTAACGGTGACTACGTTGAGAAAACTTAATGTATTTAGCTTTTGACGTCGAGTAACGTCAAGGATTTTCAGTTTAGTGCACCGGGTATGAGTGTGTATCTTTTTAGTATATGATAAAAAATATAACTATTTGTGCTTTTTTGTGATTAAAACTTGCATTTTAATAAACTGAAAATGAATTTAATGAAAATAATAGTTTCATATATTTTATCAATGTTTGTCAGTAATTATCAATGTTTTCCACGAACTTTACGGACAATCCTCGTATATCATTAAGCGTTGCAGTCGCAACCTTTAATGATATAGAAATTAGAAATGGCTGCCATTAACTAAGAGAAACATATACCCACCTTTCCTTCCATCACTTGTAAAAACATTTATGTATGCCCTTGTGCTATAGAATATAGTAATTATTGGAGTTTTTCCATGTTTTCTAGTCAAGGGAACTTCTTAAAGCTCCGGATATCCCAATTTCCATCTGCTACACAGGGTCCTAAATTAAGTGTTTTCACACAAAGAATTATTTATTGATAAAAAAAAAATAAATTAAATAAATGTCATTGCAATAAGAACCCTTACTCATGCTTATTTTTACAAACTAGACAGCACACACTGACAGAAAGAAATGTTCAAACACTTCTGTGTTTCTTTTCTTTACTTGCATTTATGGTACTTTATAAATATTGAATCAGATGAGCTAGCGACCAAGAAGAACACGCTAATAATGTACAGTGTAGCACTTGCCGAAAATTACACGCCTTATATATACCGAAAGTCCAAGCATATCGGAGAATTCTACTATAATGAATTTGAAATCGTAAGAAATAATTTTTTCTTATAATATTCAAACGTGGTTAATTCGTTACACAGGCCCCTAGCAACGGTTTCAAAAATGTGTGTGTGGGGAGGGGGGACTTCCCAAAAAGAATCCAACAAGCAAAAAAAGGTAATTTACTGTACAAATCCTGGAATTTGCCAGTGCTCAACCTTACAACAAGGGGGAGGGGGGCAACCAGCATCTAAAGGAATATTTACTATAGCAAAGTATTATACTTTGAAAGAAGTGTCCCCCCCTTGCCCCTCTCTACTGCAAATGTCAGTGCACAACGACCCATTTCGGTATACCGTATATACTCGTCCATAAGATCTGCTTATAAGTCTGTTGTATTTTTTCAAATTAATTCGGCAGAATTAGTCATTGACCCGCTTATAAGTCGGTAATATTTTGCTAAAGTCTGTAGACAATTTCAAATGAAAAATCTTTTGTATTTACCAAAGTTTCTAAGTACATATATATTTTGGGGCAAGAAAGATATTTGAGTTTACTAACAATTTTAACAAGTACAAGATCATTTAATTCTCTAAATACTAGTGTTATAATTATGATTGTGGTAACCTTAGATCTTAGATCTTAGATCTTCATTTTCTGCATTAGAATTGTTCCGATCTTTATAAACGAGTTACTGTATTTCTTCTTCAAGAAAAATTCAAATTTATAAGTCGGACCTAGACTTTTGGTTCAAAATTTGATTTCTTAGCACATGTATTTAAATTTCAGTATTTGTGATAGTTGCAGAACTATAGCGTTATGGTTTATATTTTAGTCTTTGACCATGACGCTACATATCCCCTTATGAAAATATGATTGGTCAATCAACAACCTATTACTCCCTTCTTCTAGACACTTTTAAACCATCCACCTCCCAACCCTTTATAGCCGCTCTACAGACCAATAAACTCGCTTTTTTTTTTTAAATTACCATCCGACAAAAAGGTCATCATGCAATTTTAAGCCAGCCATGCTACAATCGAAGAGAGTGTGATTGGTCGATAGTTTTCTGAAAGACGTCAATTTCCATTCCAATTCTATAATATAAAAGAAGACATTAAATAAGTTTTTTTTATATAAATTCATTTTTTATGTATACAAAACAAATGTTGGGAAGTCCTTCTTTCTCAATTGATTTAATTGAGATATTTGATAAAAATTCTGATGTTCAAGTTTGCACTTTCATCCCGAATGAAATTAACCTGATAAAATTAACTCAAAATAAAAACATCAGCAAATTTTGTCATTTTGATATGTAGTAAGAAGGAGAAATAAACTTGCTTAATAAGTTAAACTTATTTGAAAACATATTGCAGCCAAACAGTCTATTTTTGTTGTGAAAGTGAAATTGTTAAATATATTTCCAGTCCGGATCATTTAATTTAGATCGAGTTATGCTCGATATTGCGATTTCTTTTCAAATTCTTTTTCTGACATGTTCTGACATGTTCTGAGTTATGAAGTTACCGGGTGGGAGTACATATAAATTTTAGAACACGATAACTGTTGTCATGTTGTCATTTTGTATTTACTTCCACTTATTTAGAACATGACACCTTTATAAAATATGATTGTAAATTATTTCTTTTATGTTTCTGTAACACTTTCTTCCACGGATTAAAAAAGTACATGTATTATCAAATTGTTATTCGGACACGTAGCATCAGGGGGAGCCCCCCCCCCTCCCCTCCCCCCTTTTCCACAGATAACTTTCTACTATTGAAAATGTTCATTGAAAGGCTGCCCCCCCCCCCCCCACTTTTTGTTGTAGTATAGTCAAATAAGGGTAGTAATGTATGAAAAAAAATGGTACTGAAAGAAGTTTGCTCCCCCCTCCCCTTATTTTAGGCTTTAATTGACAACAAATTTGAAGCTCTCTTATTTCTTATTTGCAACAAAATCATTTCTTCTATTATATGTATATATTATTATGCATATTATTATGCATATTATATGCATATGTAAAATACAATTGAAAGCATATATCCATCCCACAACAGTAGTGAAAAAATGCGTAATGGACAAAAATAAGAGATTCTGTTCTGAACCTGTTCGCTAGCCTCCAAGGGAATGGAACAGGAAGTTGTATTGTCAGTTGTAAAAATTACAATGCTCTGTTTTTATTCAGTCTAATATACTTAGATACGCCACAGACATAGCAAATTCATGAAAGAGTTTTCTGGATTGCAATAGCCTTCAAACTTTGGCTCTGCTTTATAGGCATTAACATAATCTAGGTGTAAGAAAAAAGGGAAAACTCAAAAGAAGATAACATAGAAAAAAGAAGGAGGAAAGGAGGGAACAATTTTACCTTAAGAGAATAACGTAGTTATGAACTTTTATGTTATTCCCAGTATACGAGGGGTGATCAGAAAGTTCGCGAGCTATTTGAATAACTTTCATAAAAGAAATAAAATTAGAGTTCAGTGTTTATTATTTTTTAAAGTAGCCCTCTCCGATCTTAATGTACATCTACCACCGTTCTGGCCATGCGAGAATCACGTGATCCTGGCTGTCAGGTGACATGCTCCGTAGTGTTCTGTCACAGAAGCTAAACGATTTTTCCGAGTCTTGTATTTCATATGCTGCAAGTTATTTTTTTAAAACAGGAATAGTCCATTTGTCACAAATGGCCAAATATCGGCAATAGGATGGATGAATAAGGATATCGTTTCCCAGAATGAGCATGGTGACCATCACAACCCGACTTTTCCGTCTTTGGTGCGTCGTTTTTCCATAGTGGAAAAAGTATGGGCGCCTTCTTTTTATCATATCTGATATATTTAGAGTCTAAAGTAAACGGTATTTTAGGGATTTAATTGCTATAATATTCTCAAGATATTCAACTATATTTCTGACTGTTACTTGACAACCTTTCTTTGGAAATTGCTCAACAAAGGACACATCTCTTCCCCAGCTTACTTTCACTGGGCACCAGAACAAACATCATTTTTAACCATCTCCCTTCCTTCACTAAATCAATCAATTTAAATAATGATTGAACTTCTGGCAAGTCTTTTGTCTTCAAAATCCTTGTACAAATTATTAAATGCTACTGCAAAGGAATTTCAAAGATATACGTTAAACTTTACAGCCGTTCATTGCTTGAGTATAACTGAGTCAACCATTTTTTGTCACAAGTCATTTACATATTGACGTCATTTTCAAATTGTGACGTCACAAACATGGAGAAAACATTACGTAACATCTGTTGTTTATAGAACATGTTTATGACTATATGTGTGCCAAATTTCATTCTGATCTGAAGAGCAGTGTTGTAAACATAGAGATAGTTCGCGAACTTTTTGATCACCCCTCGTAATTTAAGAGTTTCAATAATTGAAGAACCTTTGTGCAATTTTTGATACCTGGTAATGCTGTACACCTCCTCTGAATCAAATTTATAAAAATACCAGCTAAAACTATATTTTTGTTAAATTCTCTTTCAAAATTTAAAAGAACATCTGATGGTACAAATTGTATGAACTTAAATCAATAATATTTTTGGAAAATAATCAGTGAAAAGGTATATTGTAAAGTTCATGTGCATTGCCTATGTCCTTTTAAATGCAAAATAATCTTTTGCATAATTATATACTTTTTGTTCGCCTGACCACTGCATCGTGACCTATAACCACTGTAGGATCGATCCCGATGTTCATTCTGTAGCACATTAAACATACATATTCATGATGTAGAGTATTTACTGATTCACTGGTTTATTTTTTTTTTTTTTACAATTTTGACCTGAGAGTACATTTCTGAACTTAAATTTAAACAACTTTCTCAGCGGTAAATTATACAAATTATACTTTCTAAAACTATATATACATTCTAAACTACGAAAGCCTATTAGGATCAATCTATGGAGAAAAAAATTTTAAAAGGCGTTATAACACCTTTCAAAAAGGCGTAATAACGCGAAAAAAGAATTTATAATGCCATTTGAAAAGGCGCACTAACGATAAAAAAGGCGTAATAACGCGAAAAAGGCGTTATTACGCCTTTTCAAAAGGCGTTATAACGCCTTTCTAAGAAGCATAATTACGCCTTTCTGAAAGGCGTTATTACGCCTTTTATTTTCAATACATGACTTAGTCCACCCCACGGGCTGCTGAAATCTTAACCTTGGGACATGAATTTCGAAATTAAATATAGGGCTTATTTCTTAAAAAAATAATTTAACTCTGGCTAATAATTGATTTAAAAAATGTTTTACCGAAAAGTTAGAAAAAGATCCCCCTCGAGTTTAGGCAGTTTATTTTATTTTTTTTTTTTGGTGGTGGTGGTGGTGGTGGTGGTGGTGGTGGGGGGGGGTTCTTGTTTTTTTTGTTTGCTTGTCAATTTTTTGGGAGCCCCCCCCCCCCACCCTCAAAAGCACGGGCCTGTCAAAGGCATAATGATGGCTCTTCAAAAGGCATATAACGCCTTTTGAAGATGCGTAAGAACGCCTTTTTGAAAAGGCGTAATAACGCCTTTTGGAAAGGTGTAATAACGCCTTTTGAAAGGCGTAATAACGCCTTTTGGAAAGGCTTAATAACGCCTTTTGGAAAGGGGTGATAACGCCTTTTAAATCTTTTTCTCCATAGATTGTTCCTAATAGGCTTTTGTACTAAACAAACTCGAAGTATTTAAGATGTAAATTACATTCTGAATATTCTTAAAAATGCGCAGATCCAGGATTGCGCAGAAACATGCGCAGATCCACGGGGGGGGGGGGCACCCCAGTCCAAAAAAAAAAAAAAACCCAACCCAGAAATTTTTTGGCAGAAAAAGAAATTAAAAGATTAAAAAAATCGTTATTTCCTTTCCCAAGTGTGAAAAACCTATATTTCTTGGTGGCGTGGGGTTGGGGGTGGTGGGGGGTGTATAATACCCGCAGTATCCGGTTTTATCAGAGGGGCACCGGTCTTGTAGAGTAGGCCCCTCTAAATCTTTCCTCCCGGAAAATTGGCTCTAGAGTAGGATTTCCCTCGGAAAATAGGCTCTAGAGTAGATTCAAGTTCAAAATCGGTGAAAATTTTAATTTGAAAGTAAATTACAAATATCATGTTCATATATTTACATTTGCTGTGTTTTTCTACTAAGCCAACTGTGAAATTGATTTGAAAACCATTTTTGTGTATACTCACGCGGAGAAACTCGAGCTAAAGTGACGTCACAATGAGGCTACAGAGACGTTAATAAAAATATGACGATATAAGGCAGCGAGAAATTCAAACATTGAGTATATTTTTGGTGCATTTAAACTTGTAAAATGTAAATATAAGGAATTTTTTTTTAAAGTTTTATGTGAATTATTGGTGTGTAAATCACACAGACTTGCACGTAGGCATATTTTTCATGAAGCGCTAGCGCGCTTCATGAAATATGCCTACAAGAAAAGTCTGTCGTGTGTGATTTACACACCAATAACTTACACAAAACTTAAAAACATTCCTTAAGTACATTCAATCTTGTATGTTTATTTTTTAGCTCAGATGCGCCATATATAGCTTTAAATCCTTTTGACGGGTTAAATATCTGCTGGTTATAAGGAGATATCTTACTCGTTAAGATTTGAAATGATTTAGTTGTTCTAACGAGATACTAATTCAAACCATTCTTTTGTTTATTGGATTCAAACAATATACAAGTAGTAAAAGGTGTACACAAATTACTTTCTTTGAAAGCATACTGAATCTTTAAACTTTAGATAGCCTTGATTTACTGCACATTAAAAATATGTGACAAATACAAGTACCGCTGTGCCATTGGAGGTGTTAAGGCTTCGAATCTGAGAAGAAAGCTTAATATTCGGGTTGAGACTCCATGAATTGGAAAAATGTGCTAAGAAAATTCTTACTACAATTGAAAAGTATGTAAGTCAAAAACATTCATTTTTCATTTAAAAGTAAGTGTGTCGTTTATCTTTTTTTCACAAAAATATTGCAGTTGTAGTTTATATTGACTCCATAACTAGAGCAAAAAAATCCTACTCTGAGAAAGAAAGAGAGGGAAATTTGGCTCTGGTGTGAGATTTCCCCTCGGGGGAAATCCTACTCTAGGGTACAATTTCGGGGGGGGGGGGCTGGCTATGGGGGAAATCCTACTCTACAACACAGGTAAGATATCTCAAAAGAAAAAAAAAATCTTTAAGAAATGAAACATGCTAGATAAAAAAAAATTTAAAAAGAATGATTAAAAAAAATATCACACATTCACACACTCAAATAACAATATATATGACGTCAAGATCCTGATTGGGGTGTGTGTGTGTGTGTGTGAATTTGTTGTATAATTAAAGGGCGCGACTGCAACGCTTAATGATAAACTAGTGTGTATCATTAACCGTCGATTATGTTGATATTTGATTGTTTCATTAAGCGTCGATGTTGCTCTGCATTTGTGACGCTTAATGATATAATTCTATCATTAAGCGGCGATTTAGCATTAGCAGTTGAGAAGGTCAACTATTAATGCAATAATTTATGGCATTAAGCGTTGCAATTGCAATCCTTAAAGAAATTTGTATTATTAAGCGGCGTTTTATCATTAGAGGTTGTTACAATGCATTGAAACCTAATTAGGGTATATTAGCTTATTTATAATTACCCATTATGAATATAAATGTAAAATTGTTCTGAATCTAAACTGTAATTTATTCGGTTAATAAGTTTTATTTACATCAATGAAAATGTCAGATCCATATCATGACGTAAGCAGGGGTGTAGCTTTTATTGGTCATGATTACAGAGCCATGTTCCTTGGATTTCAACCTCTCAATATGAGTAAAATATTAATTGAGGTAAATGACAATGAACAGTATGGCGCTTAGTTACTTTTTAAAATAATTTGCTTTGCTTTGTTGTACGTTTAAATGCATTCATAATTCTAGTTATACTGCATACATAAAATAAATAATGCATGACAATTCTATTTAGCATAATGAATAAAACATGATAAATTTTGATATATTCATTATTTTGACTTACGTATACAAAATAATAATGCTTCACATTTTTTACGGACAGATGATATAAACAAAAAATGGATGCCTGGATTGGTAAATAGTTTTGGGGCTGTTATTGTTGTAAATGATGCAAATAATAAATTTCTAAAATATTAAGAAATTGTAAACCTTCTATGATGTTCAAAATTTTACCTTTCTGCAACCATCCTCATTAATCTATACAAATTTTCATTACTTCAAATGCCATTATTGTGAATGAAAAATTAAAAACTATGCGGTTGAACTCGTTCATTTTACTTATATAAACAGGACTCAAGTTGTAATTTTCAAATTTTTTGATAAAAGTTTGTTTGTATCATCTGTCCTTAATTATAAATATCACAGCAGTTGTGTATATGTAGGTATGATGGAGATGTTTGGCATTACTAGTAATTTGTATTTAACTTTCCTTGATATACTTCCCCTAAGGAAAACAATTCCGTAGAAGATGTGTTGCGCATTATAGCAATGGTCGTTTAATTTGATATTAACACATTCTTAATGATATCTATTTATTATTTACAGAATTGGACAGATCTGAATCTTAGCTGGGACCCTGATGAATATGATGACTTAAAACTGATCCATCTTCATTACGATCAAATCTGGAAGCCGGATATCATTCTATATAACTCGTAAGTTTTCAATTACTATCTACTGTTATGAATATTTTTTAAATGATTAATAAGCATGAAAAGATCAACAGCTCTCATTTAAAGGTTTTAGTGTTTCATGATTTTTGTTTGATATTTTATGAAATCATTGTTTTTTCAAATGAATTTTAATACATAATATTCAATGAAAAACGTATTTTCCAGAATTGATTCAAGCACCGGATCTTCAGTCAGTACAGATATTCCCATTAATTCAAAGGGGCAAGCATTATGGTGGTCACGATGGATATTTAAAAGCAAGTGTTCGATGAATATGCAATATTTCCCTTTCGATGTGCAAAAATGTTTTCTTGATTTTGGATCTTGGTCATTTGACAACAGTGACATTAATGTTATTCCGGACAACCAAGATGCCGACCTTGATGTTTATCATCCAAATTCAGAGTTTGATCTTGTGAAATATACTATTCATAACTACACATTGCTTTCTGCAGAATGGACTCATCCATTTCTTTACATAAGATACACGATAGTTCTTAAACGTAAACCGCTTTATTATTTGTTCAATATTTTGATGCCCACAGTTTTACTTGTAACCATATCACTTCTTGCCTTTCTTGTTCATGGATCTGAGGAGAAAATATCTATCGGACTGACAACACTGTTGTCGATGGTTGTCTTACAAATGGTTGTGGCCGATAAACTTCCTCCAGTATCAGATGCAGTTCCTCTCATAAGTAAGTATCAATGTAATTTAAACCAGATTTCTTCGATCCGCACCGTAAACACTCTGCATCAGTGTATACGGGACGGATCCAAGAAATCTGATTTAAGTTAGACTGAAGTAAGACTGAACTCGATTTGAAACCTGACACATATTTTATGTTAAAATTTTTTTGCTGCAAAATGACTTTTGAAGTAAATACTTTGATGAAGCTTAAGAATCTAATCGTAAAGCTCTCTATGAAATACACACTTGTGTCTTTCACTGTGGTCGTGATATTACTTTATTAATATCTCACACACTCTACGTCGCAATAAAACTTTATTAATATCTTTTGAAAAGTCTTGTATTTTACTTTTAGGTTTATATTATGGAATATCAATCTTGCTTATCTCCCTTTCCATAAGTGTTAATGCAGTAACTATGAACGTTTATCACTATGGTGACGGTGGCCGTGAAGTTCCACTAATTCTAAAAAGAACCTGCTTTGGAATCCTCTCACGATTTCTCTGTATTTCCATCTCTGAAAAAGAAAAATCAAAGCAAAAGGATCCAGATGTTCAGGTATAAGTATGACAGGCACTTTGTGACGGCAGATATTGTCGTTCTGTACATATTGTCGTTGGCGGTACATATTGTCGTTCTGTACATATTGTCGTCGGCGACAATATGTACCTACCCTCATTGCCGACTTTTATGAATGTATTTACACACCAAATACATTCATAAAAGTATCAAAAAAAAATTCCTTAAAAAAACTCTAACTGTGGGGCGACAATATGTACAGTGAGGGTAGGTACATAATGTCGCCAGTGACAATAAGTACATGTGTAACTTTTTAGCCGGCGATATTATATACCAATGGATGGCGGTATGTGCAGTGAGGGTAGGCACATGTCGCGGCCGACGGCAATATGTACAAAACGACAATATGTACCGTCACAAGGTTTCTTAAGGATTTTTGGGCACTTTTGTGAATGTATTTGGTGTGTAAATCACGCAGACGTGTTTCGTATTCTATTTCATCAGTGCAATTGTGACGGTACTTATTGTCATCCTGTACATATTGTCGCCGGCGACATTATGCACCTCCCCCTTACCTCACATATTGTCGTCCGTCGGTATATATTGTTGCAAGCTGCAAAATTATGCTTGTACCCTGTGACGGTACATATTGTCGTTTTGTACATATTGTCGTCGGCGACAATATGTACCTACCCTCACTGCACATATTGTCGTCCACCGGTACATATTGTCGCCGGCTGAAAAGTTACACATGTACATATTGTCGCTGGCGACATTATGTGCCTCACCCTCACTGTACATATTGTCGCCCCACATATATTGTTGTTTAAAGATTTCTTTTGTTGTTTTTTGGTAGTTTTGTGAATGTAATTGGTGTGTGAATCACACTGACGTATCACGTATGCTATTTCATGCAGCGTGATTGTGACGGTACATTTTGTCGCCATGTTCATATTGTCGCCTGCGACAATGTGTACCTTCCTCACTGCGCATATTATCGTCCATCAGAACATGTCGCATGACAATGCACGGCAATGGTCCATATAAATATGACTAATCATTGCTTTGTTGTTTTTGAGAAGATAATTTTTAAACAATTTTCCCATATATTCCCATGTAAAACTTTGATGGCTAATTGCAACCCTACCATAGGCCCTGTTTCATATGAAGATACTTGAATCTGCGCTACCTGCGATACCTGAAGATGCTTCCATATAAACATCATGAATCACGGGCCTACTGCTGTTCCTCAGTGGTGGATCCAGAAATTTTAGAACGGAAAGGGGGGGGGGTCGATTCAGAGTTTTTTTTTGACAAAAAAAAAAGTGATTTGTATGTAAATATGTGTTACTGTATGTTATATGTTAAGTTGTTTGTTTGTTTGTTGTTTAACATCTCTCTCGAGAATTTTTCACTCATATGGAGATGCCACCACTTGCCGGTGGAGAGCTGCAAATTTTGACATATGCTCGGCACTTAGGGCCATTGAGCAGTGAGGGATCTCGGTTTATACGGTCTCATCCGAAGGATCGGTCTCCACGTCCCACAGTGTGATTCGAACCCGTGACTTAAGGATCAACTCCTTATCCGCGACCCTAGAGCTGATACTCTACCACTTCGCCACGCGGGCCACGTATATGTTAAGTAAATTATTTGATTATGAAATTTTACCTATGGACTAAATTGAGAGTATATACAAGTTCAATAAACAGAATTTACCAAAGCAAAATTAAAAAAAAAATAAACCACCGGGGGGGGGGGGGTGCTACATCTGTCTGGTTTTTGAGAAGATTTTTTAAAAGATTTTCTCTATATATTCCTATGTAAAACTTTGATCACCCATTGTTGCCCACCTTACTCCTGGGGTCATGATTTGAACAAAACTGATTTTATTTTTGTTTGTTGTTATAATGTCCATCTCGAAACTTTTTCATTCGTATGTAGACGTCACTACATGCCGGTGGAGGGCTGCAAGTTTAGACCTATGCTTGGCACTCAGGGTCATTGAGCAGTGAGGGAATTTTTTCGTGCCAGCACCTCAAAATTTAACATACGCTATATAATGACTCTTTCACATAAGTATCTTCTCTTCTGACCCAGCAGTTCTTGAAAAAAAAAAGATTTTGAAGATTTTTGCTAAATATTCTATGAAAAACTTTGATCACCTATTGTAGCCACATCCTTCCCCCGAGGGACATGATCTGAATAAAACTGAATCTACACTTCATAATGAAGCCTTCACATAAGTTTCAACTTTTCTTACACAGTGGTTCTTATTTAAAAGATGTCACTAAATTTTCATTTATTCTTATCACTACTGGACGAAAAAAGTGCTGAGAATCCCAAATTTTACTGATAATGTTTGATAATTACTGATACGGTGCTGTTCTTGCTGATAAATACTGATATTTACTGTTATTATTACTGTCGTTGCTGATAATTTTAGTTGTTTCTGATAAATACTGATAATTACTGTGGTCTTTACTGTTGAGTCTGATAAATACTGATAAATACTGTTGATGTGCTGTCGATGCTGAGATTTACTGATAATTACTGTGGTCATTGTTTTTAATCTGGGAAGGGACTAAAATAGCCTAAGAAATGATTATTTGTTTAAAAGAAAGTATTTTATCAACAAATTCATTACAGTATTCTAACAAAAAAAAAAATATTCTGAAAAAAAAAGTCACATATCATTTTATTTGTTTTCATATTTCATGTATTAATTTTATTGTAATCATTTTTACATCATAATGTTAAAATTAGATCATAAATGTTTGTGTTTTTCTATATCTTTATATTTCTCCTTTCAAAAGTTTTCAATATCTGCGGAAAATAATAATTGTGTTGTTATTGCAGTGGTTTTTCTCCCCAAGTACTTTTTAAAACAAGTTTTTATTTTTAAAGGTTAAAAAAAATCCCATCTCATATTTTTCCACGTGTATTTGTATTGCCATCAAAAGCTTTTAGAGGGCATCTTTAATGTAGTCAATGGTTGTTATTGTCAATTTATTTTTTCGTGTGGAGAATTGAACATGTATGAGCTCTATAAGTTGAGAACCTCCCCCCTCTTTTTACATACAACTCTCATTTTAAGAAGACACTTTAGCCAGTATTAAATATATCTCACAAAAAAAATCTATTCTGAATTTATGTTGTGTACACGATGTCCTTTTATTGAAGAATGTGACAGGTTTAAATAATAAAAATAAAACATCTTCAATTTGTAGAATAATCTCTTTTATATACATATAGCCAGTGTGCTCTAGTTCTCTGATTATGTCCTCGATGCGAATTTGATATCATTGTGTGGTATCGACGCTTTCTATCTTTCGGGTTTTTTTTGTTTTGTTTTTTTTGTTTTGTTTTGTTTTTGTTTTTTTTTTATTTTAATTGTTAAGCCATCAGTACACTATAAATCTTATGCAGTGTGATTTTCAATCAATGAAATACACGTCTTTCTTTAATTCTTTGTTAATAGTACATAAATCTGCGTTAGGTCTATGGACATACGCCAGTATCAGGGAGATCAATAAATAACTGCTTATACATGTTATACGCGGTCAGTCAGTTAAAGAAAAACAAAACAAAATAAAATAAAACAAAACTTGAAGTTACTTTCGTCCATTAATGCCGTCTAGCTAAATTGCTGTTCTGGAACACACATGTCAACCACGTGTTAAAGTTCTACTTTCGTTTTGAGAATCGGGTCAATTATTAGTACATTATGTGTATCGTGCGACATGAATTTTTGTAAAATTAGAAATAGTTTTGTACAGAGATTATAATGTTTTTTTTTATTCCATTTTCTCCTTGTCGGAGACCTTTGTATAAACGAACAGTACAGGCTGGGTGCTTACCGACTTGATTATGCTTTATTGTAGCACAAAAAGGGGGGTAGGGTGTGTGAAATACTTTTAACTTAAAACTGATACGCGCAAGGTTGATTCTTTAGTTTTATGTTAAATAAGTCATACGTCATGTTATAATTACTTATTACATATTTTTTATATACATGAATAAAATTATTTTAGAGAATCAATGAACGATACCAAATTCAAAACTATAACATTTATTCATGAGTGCGATAAACAACGTCATGTTACTGTCATTCAAAATTCATAAAAAGATTTTTTTCACGGATTCTGAGCGATGTGAAGTTTAATTCCCTGTTTCTGAATTGTGAACAGTTAATGCTAATATAATTTCAATAATTGCTTTTACTAAACCATATATTTTTTTTTTTATTTATATGTACATTTTGCATAATGTTTTAATTATAAGATGAAGTCAAATGTTCCGTATCAATTTCTCGTCTCCGTTTCACGGGCCCCAAACCATCGTTATCCGAGATTCAGAATTGAAAATACATGTAGCCCACTCCCCGGGATTTTCTTTTAAATTTTTCTCAATTTATGTCAAGAAATGTGCATAAAACTAACATATAAAATTAAATACTGAGCAAAGATAGATTTATGTGATTTAAAATAATTATTGAATATTAAGTCTGTACAATGTATATGTATATAATTTCATTTCTTTTTTTTTTTTATCTTAGTACTGCAATATCCGATTTTGCTAAATAGTTTTTTTTTTCAATTTTATTCGTCAACAAATTGAATATTACAGGATAATTTTTTTTTCCGTGCGACCGTAAACATTTTCCTGCTCAAAGAAGAAAGTACATGTACAGTGTAGGTAGTTTGTTTATTATGTACACCAGACGAGGAAGAATAGGTAATTAGTGCCCATTGTTACGCTGACCACTACAATTTACATGGAATATACAAGTTGTACCCCGTTCTACCCCGGGGCGGAAGAATTGTACACAATACAGCCAAATCAGAGACTGATCTTCGATTTTTGATCAATGAAGATCAATTTATTCCATGCAATTTTTGACCACACCAGATTAAAATCGATCAATTTGATCATATACATGTACTTTACTAAGTAAACATATTATATTAGGTCTCATTTCTTATTTCACATTCCATAAAATTAAATTAATGAGATTTTAAAACTTATTGAATAAAAAT